TCCTGGTTCTACCGCCTCAAAATCATGAATATATACCAAAATCATGAATATATACCAAAATCATGAATATATACCAAAATCATGAATATATACCAAAATCATACCAAAATCACGAATATATACCAAAATCATGAATATATACCAAAATCATGAATATATACCAAAATCACGAATATATACCAAAATCATGAATATATACCAAAATCATGAATATATACCAAAATCACGAATATATACCAAAATCATGAATATATACCAAAATCATGAATATATACCAAAATCACGAATATATACCAAAATCATGAATATATACCAAAATCACGAATATATACCAAAATCATGAATATATACCAAAATCATACCAAAATCATGAATATATACCAAAGTCATGAAAATCATGAATATATACCAAACATCATGAATATATACCAAAGGCATGAAAATCATGAATATATACCAAAACCTGGCATAAAACGAAACTCAACAACTCCTATTCGTTTCTATATAGAAACTGAGAATATAAATTGCCATGCAAAAGGTGAGGAAACCCGAAATCAAGCAGATTCAACGAACCCTGCTAGAAAACGCAAATTCAACAGATGGGAAAAATGCAAATTCATGCAAATTCACCTAACCCTGATCAAAAACGTAAATTTAATCACTCTTATTCCCTTTTAGACAAAAAACAAATCGACAAAAAATGTCATGCAAAATGTCGTAGAAAAAGGCGAAAGGGAGAATGGTGATATACAGAGGAAACGATTTAATAGTACTGGCATTTAACGAACATGGTCTTAATAGTAGAAAAATGTGTCGACTAGTTTTGGTGTTGGAGAGAGTGGGTTAAAAGCCTCTCTAATCAATCAAGTGGTCTAGAGATGTGATTGGACTAACGAGGACGTCTACTATAACTAACATTTCTAAATGAAATACTAAATAAAATCACTGACATGAATTTACTAAAAGCCGAAAACACAAGGCTCAGTTGCTCACATTGTGGAATCAAGGCCGGGTTAAAACGGAGAGAGAGAGAGAGAGAGAGAGAAAGAGAGAGAGAGAGAGAAATGGGGTTTAACGTCCACTCGACACAGACTAGGTCATTTCGGGACTAACATATGGTTTTAATTTTATTTCAATATTTCGCTTGCGCGTAGGGGTCTTTAGCAGTGGGAGGAAACCGGAGGACCCGGAGGACAGACAACCCTACTCCTTGTCACGTACAACCGGGGATTCGAAACCACGCCAGTTGGCTCAATTAAAACGGACCCAGAAGAGCAAACACAAACAGAACTGGTGAGCAGACAACAAAGCAGGGCGAATGTTTCCCTCTACTGCTACTCCAACTCCTTTTATGTTGGCGGGAATGTAAATGCCATAGATAGAACGAGAGGAGAGAGAGAGAGAGGGAGAGAGAGAGGGTTAACGCCCACTCGACACAAACAAGGTCTATCTGTTTTGGACTAACATGGTTAAATTTTATTTCAATAATTCGCTTGCGCGTAGGGGTCTTTAGCAGGGAGAAAACCCACAAGGATGGATAGGCGACCCTACTTCTTGTCACGTACAACTGGGGAATCGAAACCACGCCAGTTGACTCAATGACAGACCTTATGATAGAGCGCGCACGTGCTAACCATTCGTCCATCCAACTCATCGGCCAGTTAAAGAGATGTTTATCTTAAATATTTGTTTGTGGTATGATGTGGGGTATGGTGTGGGGGTGGCAAACACACGCCTCTCTAATATAGGATAATGCACCAATCATAGGCGTAGGAGCCGGAATGGGGGCTGTACCCCCCGCCCAGCACCCCCGGAGGGGGGCAGATCCGGTGAAGCGTCTATTTTTCGGGCAACGTATTTCCGTTTTTCAGGGACAAAAATCACAGAATGAGGAAGATTAAGTTGTTTTTGAGCTTAAAGATACATTATGGGAGATAAGATAAAGAGATGGCAGTTCTCGCTATAATAGTTAAAAACTGGATAGTGTAAAGGTAATTTGCTGAAAATTTCAGTCAAATTGATCCACTATGAGCCGAGAAAAAGCGGGTGAAATCTTTGCATAGTCTCGGTCATCATTACTAAAATCATTAATATAAACAGCATAGTCTCGATTATCCACTGTCTTGATTATCCACTTTTATTGATTTAATTATCAATAGCCGTTAGCGGCATATAGGAATCTAATCCAGCCAACATCGAAGGCTAGCCTTGACATTAAGAGTTGATTATGGTCTGGATAAGTTAATTAATGTCTAATTGACTTGTAATAAACCGATTTTGCTCTTGCATAATGCATGTTTAACTTATTGTAAATTTATATTGTTGTTGTGTAATTGTCAGGGCCGTAACTAGCTCAGAGCAACGAGGGGGACGGGAAGTGTTCTCAGGGGTGCTGTAAAATTGACGGACAATGTATATCTATGGTCGACAACTTATTCACATGGAGCGGGGGGTGGGGGCGAAACTTTTTGCACGCCCCCCCCCCCTTTAGTTACGGGCCTGGTAATTGTGTAATTAATTAAAAGTAAACAAAGATTACAGCTTTGTGGAAAATTTGTTTAAGTTGTTGATTGATTCATTCTGAAAATTTGGGTGACAAAGAAAATTTTCGGGGCAAATAGTCTCAGCCCTTCCAAATGAGATTGGCCGGGATGCCTATGGCACCAATATAGCTCTGTGAGATTATTGCACAAGATGCACACGAGGTATTTCCATTCGACTGGAAATATCTTTCCCTACAGATAAATATTACTATTATTAATTTACTGTTGATTTGAACCACTCGAGTTATGACAACAAATCCAGAATGAGATTTGTCATATTTACTCTGTATGGAAAAACTAGGAATACGTTCAGCAATTTACAACAGCGATTGGGAGTCAGAATATTAACTTTTCCTGGGCAGTCAGGTTATCTTATTGTTGTGATTTACTTTACTTGTGATTTATGATAACTAGCGAAGTTTGACTTCGTATGTTATTGTTCCCCTGGAGCCAAGGTGGCTATGTGGGTAAGACGCTGGCTCGCTAGCCTGGAGGTCGGTTGTTCAATCCCTGCATTGGGAGAAATTTCCCCTTGTCAGTGGTACAGGACGGAGGCCTGACAAGGACAACTGTCTAGTCATTCGGATGGTACGAAAAACCGACGTCCCGTGTATACATTGGCGTGCACGTAAAAGATCCCTTGGCAGTTGGAATTCGATATGAGTAGGTCATAGTGCCGCTGTCCGGGCAAAATTTCACTCATAGCACACTGTATGGCGTATGCCCGCCTTCACTAGTCCAGTAGGAGCAGAACAGTAGGACGTTACACCCCATTTCATTTCAATTTGCATAAGGCAGTATTTCACAATGTGAAACATACATGTATTTAATGTAATTACAAAAAATAACTAGGTTTCTCCACATCAAGATTCAAGCATATAAAATATCTTGCATCAGTACTGCTATATTTTCTGGAGGGGATGGGGTGTGAGGTGAATAGTCGAATGGTTAGCGCTTGCGCGCTGTATCATAAGGTCTGTCATTGAGTCAACTGGCATGGTTTCAATTCCCTGGTTGTACGTGACAAGGAGTAGGGTCGCCGGTCCAACCTCATGGGTTTTCTCCGGGTCCTCCGGTTTCCTCCCACTGCTAAAGACCCCGACACGCAAGCAAATTACTGAAATAAAATTGAACCATGTTGTGGTCCCGAAGTCGACTTTAAACCCCCTCTCTCTCTCTCTCTCTCTCTCTCTCTCTCTCACTGTTAAAGACCCCTAAGCACAAGCGAATTATTGAAATAAAATTGAACCATGTGTTAGTCTCTCGCTCCACTACACACGAATAGCAAACAGTAAAATATAATTTTGATTGAAAATATCTCGCGTGCTATTCAATACACGCATCTAGAGAAATGCTTCGTGTTATCAACCGACTGGGATTTGAATAAAAACTTTATTATTAATAATATCACTTTACTGTTCATAATACAATATTAATATCAATTTCCTACTGGATAACAGTCACATTCTGCACCGGAAGTCAGGACGTCTCGATATGTTATCAAATGTGGTAATCAAACTGTCGTATTGATCGAGGCTAATGTAAAGGTCAAGGGTTACTGGGAAATGGCGTCTATAATTGAATATGAAGAGTAAAAGATTTGTATGAGTTGAGTTATTTCTACGCATTTAACAGATTTAAAATATTATAGGCCGTGAACGTGGAAATCTGTCGATTTTAGCATAAGGGTCTTTTATTCTTTTATTTATTTTGTTTTTGATGGGTGGGGCCGCGGTGGTTCAGAGGGTAAGATGATGATTTAATAGAAAGGAGGTCTCCCGTTGTTTGCCCAGAAGGTTCCTCGGGATTTTCCGACGGGGTTCCCCTTGTTTGTGGTGCAAGACGGAGGTCCTGACAAATAACTGTCTAGTCGTAAGGATGGGACGAAAAACTGAGACCCGTGAGCATATTGGCGTGCACGTAAAGGAACCCTTGGAATTCCAAATAAGAGTAGGCCGTAGTGCCGCTGTCTTCGTTAGCCCATTCGCGTGCGCGTTCTATCATAGGGTCTGTCATTGAGTCAACTGGCGTGGTTTTGATTCCCCGGTTGTACTTGACAAGGAGTGGGGTCGCCTGTCCAACCTCTTGGGTTATCTCTGGGTCCGGGTCCTCCGGTTCCGGTTTCCTCCCACTACAAAAGACCCCTACGCGCAAGCGAAGTATTGAAATAAAATTAAACCATGTGTTAGTCCCGAAATGACTTAGTTTGTGTCGAGTTGACTTAACCCCCTCTCTCTCTCTATCTCTCTCTCTCTCTCTCACTATCTCTCTCTCTCTCTCGCTCTCATTCGGTAAACACACAAGTAGGTAGTAAAATCCCATTTTCAACACATTTTCCTTTTGATGGACAAAAATAGAAAAGGGGCAGAGAGAGTGCATTTCTAAAGCAAATATTTCTCCGAACACAGCAGCGACAGCAGCTTTGGGAGTAACAATTAAAAAAAAAACAAATCTTACTTTTTTTCGAAGCTCTAAATCCATCGTTGATGGGAAGGTTCTGTATGTCATAAACTAGTTTAGATTTGGACAATAAATCGCGTTCATGGTTTACTCTATATACAGCATAACGAAAGGCATTTTCTACTCTTAGATCTTCGTCACCCTCTCCAAATAATCCACCTGAAATATAGGAAAATAAACAACCATAAATAAACTAACATGAAATAAAATGAAATGGGGTTTAACGTCCTACTGTTCTGCTCCTATACTGGGCTAATGAAGACGGGCAGTGTGCTATAAGGGAAATTTTGCCAGGGCAGCGGCACTATGGCCTACTTTTATATCGAATTCCAAGGCCAATGTGAGACCCTCCATCCTGCACCACTGATTAACTTTCTCGGCCAATGCAGGGATCGAACACGCGATCCCAGGCTAGCGTGCTAGCGTCTTACCTACTTGACGACCGTGGCTCTCTTTAGACAAAGAGACGCCGTAGTCTATTCCCCCCACTCTCACGACTTCAGGACGATGAAAGTATGTTTTAAACACAATTCAGCAAAGTCGAGGATACTGCCTGATGTTGAAGACTACAGGGCGTGTACGAACTCAAAATAATTATACACCTTGACCGGTGTTCTCCTAGACCAGTGGTTCTCAACCGTAAACACGGGGCCTCGGTTTTTCCAGGCTAGCGAGATAGCGTCTTACCCACTTAGCCACCGTGGCGTCCATAAACTATAACACGATGTCCACAAAAGTTTGTAAAATTCTAAAAATAATCTTCAAATCGTCCTTAATTGTCAAATGCCGTCACGAGGAATAAGGGGGTCTTAAAGATACATTATGGGAGATTAGATAAAGAGCTGACAGTTTTCACTATAATAGTTAAAAACTAGATGATGTAAATGGATTATGCTGAACATTTCAGTCATATTGCTTCACTCTAAGCCGAGAAAATGTTATTTAAAAATCTTTGTAGCCTCGGTTGTTATTGTCAGTGCTGTCGAGATAATTAACAACAGTCTCGATTGTCCATTTTTGCGTTGAACGGACATTGAAAAACAGATCATATTCAAATCCAATAAAAACCGGACAGATAAGATGGCAGCGAGAGTTGATTATGATCTTTTCATGTTACTAAATGTCTAATTAAAGGCCCAATACCACTTTTGTTGTAACTGAATAATATGTATCAATCTTTATTCTGGTCAACAAATGGTACTATTTTACAATATTCCAATTAAATGATGATACAAATTTCATCTTAACACACCTTATTTAAAAATTTTGAAAAATTCAACATAATGGTTTGAAACGTCTAACGTAAACCTTTTCAAATGAAACTTCGATTTAAAAATATTTTCGAACCCTCTGGACAAGTAAAATAGGATGTAATGGATAATTTACACAACAGGTAGGACACTTAAACATCTAGTACTTAGATAGAGATATTATTTATTTTCTGGAGCTTTCAAGCCAGCAAGAGTGTTATTGTCCCTTTAATAGTATATATAACATTCCAGGCCCTAAAAAGGGTCCCGAAATAGGCAGATTTACCTTTTGTATTAGGTATGTTTAATAAATAACGTTATTGTGACGCCATTTGTTAAATAACATAATGTTTTAGTATTTTTTAGTATTGAAATCCGACCCTTGAAGCTTTTTACCCACCCAGCATAACAATCGTATGTTTTTGATAATTCGCACCTGGTTCAATATCAAGTTTTTTGGGGTTTTTTTTTATCCAACTAGCATAACTTTTTTACCCACCCAGCAGGACAATCTTTTATTGAAATGGCACCCCGTACTATAGTAAGCTTATCACCCACCCAGCATCACCACCATTTATTCAAATCTTGCCCCGTACTATAGCAACCTCTTCCAACAGACATACTCAGTAAATTCTCCTCTGGGTTCCACAAAAATGTCTATGCCATAATAGTACAATACATCCACCGTGCTATATATGAGGGGGCTGTCTGAAGTACAACAACGTACAGACAGCTCAACAGACTTCATTAGAACTTAGTTATGAATAATTCTACAATAAAGCTGCGTTTATGAACTTGCGTCTATTATGTTTCTAGACGATATATTTAATTATATCATTTATAAGTCATGTTGGGTTGCTTCTAGACCCTAGACAATGTTTACATTTTGACTATGAGCCAGCGTGATTAAAATGTTTAATATAATTATCATAAAGTGGATTTTATTGTATAAAAACTGGAGAAAGCTAACGATGTAGGAACGCCAGACACGTGTGTAACTCTCCACATCTCAATGAGTCTGGCTTGGTGAAATAATAACCACTAAATTCTTAATAGATACATGGGATGAAATGAGCTTGAACGTTCTACGTTGTTGCTCCATTCGAGAGAGAGAGAGAGAGAGAGAGAGGAGAGAGAGGGGGAGAGAGAGAGAGGGGGAGAGAGAGGGGGTTAACGTCCACTCGACACAAACTAGGTTATCGCGGGACTAACACATGGTTCAATTTTATTTTCAATAATTCGCTGACGCGTAGGGGTCTTTAGCATTGGGAGGAAACCGGAAGACTCGGAGAAAACCCACGAGGTTGGACAGGCGACCCTACTCCTTGACCTTATTCCTTATTCGGACATCCACCCCCCCCCCCCCGCCCCCCTACACCGATTCGAAATAACAGTAGGTAGTAACTCCGTTACCATATTTGTCTTAAAGTGTACGTAAAATATCTTGACAGGTTGAATTCGATCAGTGTGCTTTGAGAGGAATTTTGCCCGCACAGCGGCCTTTCTGTCTCGGCCAGCACCAGGATCGAACCCGGGACCGCTTGGCCTCCTCAGTAGATACATACAAGATATGAATATTTGCTACCCTTTGCGTAATGCACTGGTCTGATCGATTCTACTCTGTAGCCACATTGAGTGTCCCAGCTAAGCGGGATATAAATACATGCGAATACAAGCAAATATCATTGAATACGGCCATTGAATTAAGTCATTGAATATTCCATGGTTGTATTCAATGGCTTAAACACGTACTCTTTTTGTCCAGAATTATTATTTGTTTGTTTATTGTTTGTTTGTTTTTTTTGTTGTTGTTCTTTTCTCTTTTTTTGTGGTAATCTGAATAGTGCAGTGTATTTTGAGATTTGCATGTAGTTATAGAATAAAAACAGAACTCATTGATTATTGAATACCGCTCGGGTTATTCTATGGTTCCAGAGAGTGTATCCCTGTCGCATTCCACTCGTGGACTGCTTGCGCCGAGATACACTCTCTTGAACCATAGAATAACCCGAGCGGCATTCAATGGTCATTGAGTTCTATATATATACATCTTCGAGTCCCAGGTACACGTCTTGCAAAAAAATGTGGCAGTTTGGTATGATCTCACCAGTATAAACATCGCTGTAGGAGGTTTCGCCACATAGCTTTTTAACTCTACACACTACGGTCTTAACCTTTACGACCTAAACCGATTTGTTGACCTGGCCTTTACTAATGCGACCGAAACTCTATGGCTGAAAGGGGGGTTGGATGGCCGAATGGTTAGCACGTGCGCGCTGTATCATAAGGCCTGTCAACAGGTGTGGTTTCGAATCCCCTGTTGTACATGAAAGAAGTGGGGTCGCCTGTCCAACCTCGTGGGTTTTCTCCGGGTCCTCCGGTTTCCTCCCACTGCCAAAGACCCCTGCGCGCAAGCGAATTATTGAAATAAAATTAAAACCATATGTTAGTCCCGAAATGTCCTAGTTTGTGTCGAGTGGACGTTAAAACCTCTCTCTCTCTCTCTCTCTCTCTCTCTCTCTCTCTCTCTATGGCTGAAAACCATGCCCGAATGGTTAGCACGTGCGCGCTGTATCATAAGGCCTGTCAACAGGTGTGGTTTCGAATCCCCTGTTGTACATGAAAGCAGTGGTTTCGAATCCCCTGTTGTACATGAAAGAAGTGGGGTCGCCTGTCCAACCTCGTGGGTTTTCTCCGGGTCCTCCGGTTTCCTCCCACTGCCAAAGACCCCTGCGCGCAAGCGAATTATTGAAATAAAATTAAAACCATATGTTAGTCCCGAAATGTCCTAGTTTGTGTCTAGTGGACGTTAAAACCCCTCTCTCTCTCTCTCTCTCTCTCTCTCTCTGGCTGAAAACTCTATGCACGAAACGTCTGATGGCCTGACATGTGCGAGACGGAAAACAAAAGATCCGAGATCTCCTAACTGAATAATGGAGGACTGGGTGTCAATAATTATAATATATGGGTAGATTATATTGTCCAGACAGTGGTAATTGAATGTATTTACCTACGTGTATTAATATTGAGACAATCGTCTCGATCCATTATAGTTTTCTCCTCAAATAACTGTGATGGAAGAGTGGTCTAAGTGTGTGCGCTTTAGAACACAGGGTCTGTCATTGATTAAAGGGGCTAAATCGCTTATATTTGGCACCTAGGAATGGACATAGATGGGTCGTAACGCATATAATAATGTATTATGAATGTATATAAACTGATTTACAATCAATCAATTATGTTCGGCGAAATATACGCCAGAGGTCTTAATCGAATGGAAATCTCTCGCGTCTTTTATTCCAGTCTACATAGATAGTATTTATTGCATAGTACATAGATTTACATTCAATCGTTTCTGCTTATACTGTAATGTCTAATGTTCGGCGAAATACGCGAAGAATTCAAATTGAATGGCAGTCTTTGTTAGATGCATACGTGTATACAATTTATTTTCGACCATATTTCGAATTCCAATACCGACTTCCGCCCAGCACGATTGACAAGGGGAAATAACGCTTTGCAAACTTTCTCGGCCGACATCACAAGTTTTCATGCCCATGTCACATATATAGATGAACCAAAACATAGGTTATTTAGATCGTCCAACCCAATTGTTTTTTATTTCAAGATGGTTTCCTAAAGAACGGTAACTCTATATTATGTAAAGGTGTAATAAAAAGATACAAGTTGATGTTACTAGGTGAATGTTTATTCACGTGGTTTCATTCTATTATCAGACCTTATTTAATCTAGAGCACGTGTCATCTTGTATCATATTTACCTGGATTTAATCATAACAAGGTGAACACTTGGCTCTAGTTGATTATTCCATCATCCAGACGCACAGTATTCGTTACCTTTTCAGTTGCAACACGTGTCGTACACGTGAAAGGGTATGCTGCTGAAACG